AAACACCTTTCTGAAACTAAGGAGGAAAGTTGATTGATTTTTAAGGCTCGCTAAATATGGCAAGGCCTTTAACAAAAACCAGGGAGGAAACTTTAAGCATCTTTAGGGTGGAACAACACACAATGTAGCCAACATGAAACTTGCAAACCCAGGTTTGAGGGAAAACAGTAATAATGTGTAGCTGGGGAGAGAAATAAGGCAATGGATAAATTAGCAACCAGAGGGAATACTTTAAATTATTCTCCCTGAAAACATATCACCACACTCTTTTGTTTTTCCCATGCTAAGCCTGCTTATTTTTATTCTTTACAGTGGTACCTCGGGTTACATACGCTTCAGGTTACAGACTCCACTAACCCAGAAATAGTGCTTCAGGTTAAGAACTTTGCTTCAGGATGAGAACAGAAATTGTGCTCCGGCAGCGCGGCCGCCGCAGGAGGCCCCATTAGCTAAAGTGGTGCTTCAGGTTAAGAACAGTTTCAGGTTAAGTACGGACCTCCGGAACAAATTAAGTACTTAACCCGAGGTACCACTGTATTTATCACACAGACATATCGCACACACAATATAATAAAAACGTAATACTGTTATCACACTGTAGTTTGTTTGACCACTGACAGGTGGCGCTGTAAACTGCAGCGTGGCAACAGCCTGGGCCATCACAACTGTGTCACAGGAAGAGAAAGAAGGTGATGGGGGCAGAGAGGTGGGCAGTTGGAAGGCAGCCCAGGCAGGTGGGCAGGCAGGTGGTGGGTGGCCCAAACCAGTGGCCCAGAAAATACTCCTTGCTGGCTGTGCTTCACACCCCCACCCACAAGTTCTTATCTGATAATGCCTCTTTCTTACCTGGATGGAGGATAGAGGGGTGTGTGTAGAAACTAGCCTGCTGTACAAATGTAAAACTTACATTCATTCATCTTCTCACTTTTGACTCTGGCAGGTGGTCCCTGGCAAGTTGTCAAGAAACTAATGTAGCTTTTGGGTTTCCCACCCTTTCTCTAACATCCATGACAGAGGGACTGTGCTGGTGGTTAAGTACAGCTGGACTATATCCTGAAGAACTCATGGAAGATATAATGGGTAGGTGGGAGAAAGATCTAGAGATCTCCCAACCTGTTCCCCAGTTCCTAACTGCAAAAATGACCCCACTCTACTGCTCCTTTGTGGTGTCAGATGGAAGAAGATGCAGGAAGAAAGCCACCCTAGGCAAACAGAAGGTCTCGGCTGAAGAACATTGCTTTCCTGTGGCCAGGCTGCGGCATGGTGACAGAGTGCCACTGCACCCATCTCTGCCACCATGTCAACGGACCTTGGAGGCTTCCACATTCCCTGTGCTGATCCTCAATAACCCCCCTGAACTTGTGAAATCTGACAAGATCAACAACTTAAGGTAATCAGGCCTCCGGGTCCATAGTGCATCCCATAGAAATTCAAATACATTTTCTTCCTCCTAAAAAATTGAACTTTTTCTTTCCCCTGCTAAGAACAATTATGATGAAAAGGAAATGAAATCTTGGCATACATCATCCATAAGACTTGAAGGCAGTACACAGACTGAGATGAACAACAGAGGTCTCATTAGAGGGGTGAAGGTGGGGTCATGCTCACCCCAAGCTTGACATCCCGAGAAAGGAAAAGGAAGACTGTATCCTCCATCTTTGTTCCATGTAGCCTCTTAACCTTCATCTATCCCTGCAAAAATATGTCTCTTTTATTTAAAATAACATATAGCCAAAGGTTAGCTTCTGCGAAGGGTTTTCTTTCTTTCTTTCTTTCTTTCTTTCTTTCTTTCTTTCTTTCTTTCTTTCTTTCTTCCTTCCTTTCTTTCTTTCTTTCTTTCTGACCTTCTTCCAAACTCATATGTGGCTTCTAAAGTCATTAAAACAGTGGCTCCCAAACTTTTTTGGGACCCTGCTCCCATGGTTCCATAAATTCATTCCCAGTGCTTCCTGACCCACCCTATAAAAACATTACTCAGAATAGTGGATGTAGCCTACCTTGATTTCAGCAAGGCATTTGACAAGGTGCCCCATGATATTCTTGTCAAGAAGCTGGTAAAATGCGGTCTTGACTATGCTACCACTCAGTGGATTTGTAACTGGCTGACTGACCGAACCCAAAGGGTGCTCATCAATGGTTCCTCTTCATCCTGGAGAAGAGTGACTAGTGGGGTGCCACAGGGTTCTGTCTTGGGCCCGGTCTTATTCAACATCTTTATCAACGACTTGGATGATGGACTCAAGGGCATCCTGATCAAATTTGCAGATGACACCAAATTGGGAGGGGTGGCTAACACCCCAGAGGACAGGATCACACTTCAAAACGACCTTGACAGATTAGAGAACTGGGCCAAAGCAAACAAGATGAATTTTAACAGGGAGAAATGTAAAGTATTGCACTTGGGCAAAAAATGAGAGGCACAAATACAAGATGGGGACACCTGGCTTGAGAGCAGTACATGTGAAAAGGATCTAGGAGTCTTGGTTGACCACAAACTTGACATGAGCCAACAGTGTGACGTGGCAGCTAAAAAGCCAATGCAATTCTGGGCTGCATCAATAGGAGTATAGCATCTAGATCAAGGGAAGTAATAGTGCCACTGTATTCTGCTCTGGTCAGACCTCACCTGGAGTACTGTGTCCAGTTCTGGGCACCACAGTTCAAGAAGGACACTGACAAACTGGAACGTGTCCAGGGGAGGGCAACCAAAATGGTCAAAGGCCTGGAAACGATGCCTTATGAGGAACGGCTAAGGGAGCTGGGCATGTTTAGCCTGGAGAAGAGGAGGTTAAGGGGTGATATGATAGCCATGTTCAAATATATAAAAGGATGTCACATAGAGGAGGGAGAAAGGTTGTTTTCTGCTGCTCCAGAGAAGCGGACACGGAGCAATGGATCCAAACTACAAGAAAGAAGATTCCACCTAAACATTAGGAAGAACTTCCTGACAGTAAGAGCTGTTCAACATTGGAATTTGCTGCCAAGGAGTGTGGTGGAGTCTCCTTCTTTGGAGGTCTTTAAGCAGAGGCTTGACAACCATATGTCAGGAGTGCTCTGATGGTGTTTCCTGCTTGGCAGGGGGTTGGACTCAATGGCCCTTGTGGTCTCTTCCAACTCTATGATTCTATGATTCTATGAATAGCAGTTTCCACAACCCACTAAGTGAGATAATAACACAACAAAATTGAAATGAGTAACAATTAATTGGACATTTATTCAAAATCCAATTAAAACAATTTAGCTTAATTAAGTCAACAAAATCGATGAGCCAGTGATAGCACTTTTTCAAAGTCTGATATTTATACTTTCAGTGCTCCCTTTGCCACTTAGCATTGTCCCCTAGGTAATCCCATCCACCAAGGTAATCCCACTGCCCACTTTGGAAACCACTGCATTAAAATACACACAACATCCTTCTGTGGAGCTCCATTTACCCCCAGACTTTTAATCTTCCTGTGAGCTAAAACACCTTGTCTATGACACCCAACACCCGAATTTTAACCTTGGTGGACTAGAAGATGTTTGGAGAGTTCTACAGGTTGGAAGGTTGCACGAACAGAGGTGTAGAGTGAAGAGGCCATGCTTCTGTTTAACCACCAACATAGCTGAGTCACTGGCAGAGTAAGTTAGTAGCCTTGCATGTACAAACCACACTTCCGGAATGTGTTGGGTCTGGTCTACTGTACGCAGAATGCAATGTGGCCTGAACCAGTGTTGGTGTGGTGGGTTGGTGTCATGACCTCCTCAACAGTTGAGTCGCTACTGCTTACTAGGAGGGGTTAGGAGGATGAGGAAGCAAGGTGGTTGGTGCAGTGCAAATGCACTGGCAGAGCCAACCTTGATTATATCCATTCAGTCTGCTGGTGAGAGGTTGCAAGGTTGAATGCTCCTCCATTATATAAGCTCTCTAAAACTAGATCTTCTTCTTTGGCAATCACTCTTAGACGAATAAGATTGTCTTCCATTAATATGGTCTTAACAGTGTCTCTGTAGGTGACTGTGGAGGCCAATTATGGATCCGCACATCCTTCCACAGTGGGTACATCGGTTTCCAGGTAGGAGTTGAACAGGGTCAGGATTTGCCAAACATGCCTTCCTCTTAGGTCATTTCTCCCTTTCATCCCAGGTTTGTGCTTATTCAAAGTCCATGGCGCCTCTTAAAAAGCAGAGACATCACCTTGCCAACAAAGGTCCGTAGAGTTAAAGCTATGGTTTTCCCAGTAGTGATGTATGGAAGTCAGAGCTGGACCATAAAGAAGGCTGATCACCGAAAAATTGATGCTTTTGAATTATGGTGCTGGAGGAGACTCTTGAGAGTCCCATGGACTGCAAGAAGATCCAACCTATCCATTCTGAAGGAAATCAGCCCTGAGTGCTCACTGGAAGGACAGATCCTGAAGCTGAGGCTCCAATACTTTGGCCACCTCATGAGAAGAGAAGACTCATTGGAAAAGACCCTGATATTGGGAAAGATGGAGGGCACAAGGAGAAGGGGACGACAGAAGACGAGATGGTTGGACAGTGTTCTCGAAGCTACCAGCATGAGTTTGACCAAACTGAAATTGCCAGTGGAAGGCAGGAGTGCCTGGCGTGCTCTGGTCCATGGGGTCACGAAGAGTCGGACACAACTAAACAACTAAACAACAACAACAAATTGATTTACACAAGTGGCTCAGAGCAGAATCGCTTTCATGGACGCAGCAATTTCCTTTGCACCACTTTTAATTCCATCCACTGTCTCTCAGCCTAACCTAACCCATACGGTCATTGTGAGAATAGAATGAAAATGGAGAGAACCAAGTATGTCATCTTTGGAGGAAAGGTGGGAAATATCATCATCATTTTGTAAACTTATTTGAGGGTTGTTGTTTTTCTACGATCAACTGCCGTATAAATTTTATGAAATTAATAATAATAGTAATAATAATAATAATAATAATAAATAAATAAATAAATAAATAAGACATTTTTTTTAAAAAAACCTCTCTTATTCCTATATAACCTGGGATAGCTCATTTGGTAGAGCATGAAACTCTTAATCTCAGAGTTGTGGGTTTGGGCCTCACATTGGGCAAGAGATTCCTGTATTGCTAGATTGGACTAGATGACTGTCATGGTCCCTTCTACCTCTGCAATTCTCTGATTCTATTATTCTAACTCTTATCCCTCCTGCTCTGTTTTTTCAAACTCACACACACAGACCTTTGTATTTTACAGCTCTCAGGAAAACTGCTGAAATACAGAGGAGCATTTCGTAGTAGTCAGGAATCAGCTGAGCTCACAATATCAATACATGGAACGCACAGCAGGAGAATCTTCACTGAGCAAATGAAGTTAACAATCAAAAAAATAAAAAATTAAGCATGTGGAAGCCAAAATAAGGTTGTAATGAATCCACAAAACTCTGATAATCTGGCACCATAAATTTGTATTTTTGTTGTGCAAAGGCAATTCTGACACTGATGGAATTAGTCACTTAGCAATACATTACATACAACTCTTTGCTTTCGGGATCTGGGAAGTTCAGTTTGGGCCATCATAGATCCCAGCTGCACATCTAGAACTTTAACAAATAGAAATAGAAATTCCCCTTTTCATTTTTCTTTTTTTAAAAATATATGTATTACCTTCTTTATGATCTTTAATTTTTGATAGCTCTCTATTAATATTATTTATATGTATGTTTTAACATCTGAAGACTTCTATTTTCTTTTCTTTCCCTGTCTTGTTTTCTTTTTTTAATTTTTATCATTGCTTTTGTAATACGTTGAAAACTCTTACTAAAACTGAGTTTAAAAATAGAACTTTAACAAGTATGGCTGGAAGAGGTTAAGAGACTGAATATGCGGAAAGCTTATATTAAGTAAATTACAATGTAATGCAATTTGTCTGCTGTCACTGTGGTTTGCGAGAACAATTAAATAAACAGCAGTGCACTGGTGCAGCTTTTAGAGGATTATTAGAGGAGCAGGGGACAGAACTTGATGGTTGATTTAAGGAAAAAGAAAGAGAGAAAAAACTCCTGGAAAACTCATTGACATTAAATTACCAGCATTTCAGAAAATTACTACATGACAATGAGCCAGAGAAGTGTTTTAATAACCTTGCATTACAACTCTCTCTCTCTCTCTCTCTCTCTCTCACACACACACACACACACACACACACACACGGTGCATATTTGAATCAAACATAATGCCAAGCTGATTCAGTTAAAATATCCACCTTTTTATAATATTACTATTCTATAGTTAGCATGCTCAACATCAAAAAAATGAAGATCATGGCCACCTGTCCCATCACCTCCTGGCAAATAGAAGGGGAAGAAATGGAGGCAGTGAGAGATTTTACTTTCTTGGGCTCCATGATCACTGCAGATGGTGACAGCAGCCACGAAATCAAAAGACGCCTGCTTCTTGGGAGAAAAGCAATGACAAACCTAGACAGCATCTTAAAAGCAGAGACATCACCTTGCCAACAAAGGTCCGTATAGTAAAAGCTATGGTTTTCCCAGTAGTGATGTATGGAAGTGAGAGCTGGACCATAAAGAAGGCTGATCGCCAAAGAATGGATGCTTTTGAATTCTGGTGCTGGAGGAGACTCTGGAGAGTCCCATGGACTGCAAGAAGATCAAACCTATCCATTCTGAAGGAAATCAGCCCTGAGTGCTCACTGGAAGGACAGATTGTAAAGCTGAGGCTCCAATACTTTGGCCACCTCATGAGAAGACAAGACTCCCTGGAAAAGACCCTGATGTTGGGAAAGATGGAGGGCACAAGAAGAAGGGGACGACAGAGGATGAGATGGTTGGACAGTGTTCTCAAAGCTACCAGCATGAGTTTGACCAAACTGGGGGAGGCAGTGGAAGACAGGAGTGCCTGGCGTGCTCTGGTCCATTGGGTCACGAAGAGTCGGAGACGACTAAATGACTAAACAACAACAACAATAGTTACCATGCATATTCATATCCCCTTACCACATACGAGAGGCATAGTTTATTGCAGTAAGGGGTGGCTGATGTAGAATTAAAGCCAAAGTTAACTGGAAACATGTATTTGTTAATGCTGCCTGAGTCTTTAAGAAGAAGAAGAAGAAGAAGAGTTTGGATTGATTGGTATTAACTGTCCTTTACTGAGATGAACATTGCTGGTCTGTACTGCTCGTTTTCCTTTTACAATTGTTTCATTTCCATCATTTGTTATTTACTGTTGGGATCTTTCTTTTTGAAAGGGCTGCTTGTAAGCAGCCATGAAGGCTCTTCTGGTGGAAAGGAGGGACGGGATTTTGTCTTAAGAAAATACATAATCCTATAGCAAGATTTGCTAGGTTGAGCAGCTTACGGTGCAGCAGGTATCCAGCCCAGGCAGCTGGTCCCTAGCTTAGCCAGCATCCTAGAATCATAGAATTGTAGAGTTGGAAGGGGTCCTGAGGATCATCTGGTCCAGCCCCCTGCATGCAGGAATGAATATGGAGCTGTCCCATATGGAGATTGAATCTGCAGCCTTGGTGTTATCAGCACCATGCCCTAACCAAACTGAACGATCCAGGCTACATGTCCCCGACCCCTGGCTCAGCCAAATATATGTAGCATAGCTTGTTCATTCTGGCTCAACTTGGGTGCAGTTAGCTGAGCTGAGCTGAGCAAATCCCCCCAAATGGGCTTTTTGAGGGCATGGTGGTGGACAGGACCAGATAGAGGAGACTTAGGCTTTCAAGACCACATAACACCGATCTTGAAAGACCTACATCGGCTCCCAGTACGTTTCTGAGGACAGTTCAAAGTGTTGGTGCTGACCTTTAAAGCCCTAAACAGCCTCGGCCCAGTATACCTGAAGGAGCATCTCCACCCCATCGTCCTGCCCGGATGCTGAGGTCCAGTGCCAAGGGCCTTCTGGCAGTTCCCTCACTGCGAGAAGCCAAGTTACAGGGAACCAGGCAGAGGGCCTTCTCGGTAGTAGCACCCGCCCTGTGGAGCGCCCTCCCACCAGATGTCAAAGAGAAGAACAACTACCAGACTTTTAGAAGACATCTGAAGGCAGCCCTGTTTAGGGAAGCTTTTAGTGTATAACAGACTACTGTATTTTAATACTTTGTTGGAAGCCACCCAGAGTGGCTGGTGAAACCCAGCCAGATGGGCGGGGTATAAATAAATTATTATTATTATTATTTTATTATTATTATTATTATTATTGGCTGAACCCTATGTCCATTCACCTCAGTCACATGACTCCGCCCCCCCTTTTGCTGTAGATAAGCAGGACAAAGCGAAAAGAGTCCCTCACCATTTAAAGAGTCTTTCATTATCACAGCAAAAGATTTTTGGAATGAAGGTGTTCCCAATTAAGGTTTCCACCCAATTCCCCCCTAGTCACTCCTCTCTTGCAACCTGATCTCGCAACCACCCTGCTTTATGTGCAGCCACCTTATCTGTGTGATGTGACCTTGGACTGATATACTGAATATTTTCCAGCAAAAGAGTGAGTCTGTCCGCTCTCTCTCTTCCTGTTCTTCTTCACTTTGCTGTTCACCCCCCAGTTCTTCCCAACTTTTGTCTTCAGAACTATGCCCCTCTGCAAACCACTGCTCCAAATCTATACTGCTCCACTGCTCCTGGGCATCTTCAGGATCCTCATCAGAGCTGTACTCCTCAGCCTGGTCTCTGACACCTGGCAAGATTCACCCATCTTTAGTCTTTAGTGGTTGCCTAAAGCTGTGGAGGGATGGTGCCTAGTGCACATCTATAGGGAGGGATTTCTTCAGTTTGGGGGTCATTACAGAGAAGGCTCTTTTTCAGGAGATGTCACCATAAGAAGATTCTCTGCTGCAGATCACAATGCCTTGAGTGGCACATAGAGGAAGAGGAGCTCCTATGATGGACCTCTCAATCAGATCAACAGGTGCAACCAAACCTACCCAACCAGCCCAGCCCCTTGTTGCAGTAGCTGCTACTTTGTTGGTATTTCCCTCTGAACTCCGAGAGGCACCCATTTGTCATGAGAGTAAAGCCACTGCAATGATCAGTTGGGACACGTCCTCCTTGTGACTATCTTCATTACAAGCAAGTCTCATCCCCAGAAGATGTACAGCTGCCCACAGAAGCAAGCCACAAACCAAAAAAGGATGCTCTTCAAGGGATGCTCCTATAGTCGAAAAAAGTTTCTCCGGAGGAATGCTGAAAAGAACTTCAGAGAGCCTCCCCAGTCTCACGGAGAACTTTGAGGAGAACCACTTCAGCGATTTGGAAGCCTTCAAAGGTGACCTGCATTAACCATAATCTTCAAAAGATGGCGATGACAGGACATGAAAGTCCTCGCCGTGACATGAAGTTTTCTTTTTCCTTTTTTTTTTTAAAAAAAGGCAGAATCCCTTGAAGTGTCATTAAGCCTTTGAAGCAATGGCATAAAGCTGGAGCAGATGTTTGAATACAAAGCTGTTGGTACCATGGAGAGCACTCATCATTGTGACGGGAGGCCTTTCAGCAAGGTGAGCCTGTTCAGAGAAACCCGCAAAGTCGGAGGCCAGCCACTCGGAATCACAAAGGAAAGCTTTTGTCATTCCCTGCCATGCTTCCCAATCCATTTCCCTCTTGCAAGAGAAGAGATAGCTTGGGTATTGGTTTTGCAAAGGCAGGAGCTAGGTATTTCAAAGGAGCACCTTACGCACAGCCGGTGGAAGGTGGCAACTGGTCCATTAGGGCAAATGGGGCACTGCCCTATGAACCTCAGTAACAATAATAACAATAATTTATTATTTATCCCCTGCCCATCTGGCTGGGTTTCACCCGGCCACTCTGGGCAGCTCCCGACAGAATATTAAAAACATGATAAAACATCAAACATGAAAAACTTTCCTAAACAGGGCTGCCTTCAGATGTCTTCTAAAAGTCAGATAGTTGTTGATTTCCTTGACATCTGGTGGGAGGGCGTTCCACAGGGCAAGCGCCACCACCAAGAAGGCCCTCTGCCTGGTTCCCTGTAACCTCACTTCTTGCAGGGAGAGAACTGCCAGAAGGCCCTCGGAGCTGGACCTCAGTGTCCGGGCTGAATGACAGAGCTTTATAGCAGCTTCAAGCTT